AATAGAATAGAATAGAATAGAATAGAATAGAATAGAATACTTTATTGTCATTTCACTATACCCTACATGCCAAATTCCGTCGCAATTGACTCCCAATTAGACCTGATTAAATACAATTTAAAATACCACGGTAACTATACAATGTACTTTTTTACCATCTGGCAGCGGATTACATTTTGCATTCTATATAAACAGAAAAACATTTAGTGAGCATTCAAAAGTCTAATAGCCTGGGAAACAAAACTGTTACTCAATCTGGCTGTCCTACATCGAATACGGCAGAACCTCTTCCCGGAGGGTAACAAAGAGAACAGGCCACGATGTGGGTGGGGAGTGTCTCTGACGATCTTTCGAGCTCCTGAGAGGCAGCGCGCATATGCTAGGTCTTGGATGGGCGTCAGAGAGATCCCAGTTATCTTTTCTGCTGCCCTTACTGCCCTCTGCACAGACCTTCTATCCGAGGCACTACAGCCCCCAAACCAGACAGAAATACAGTTTGTAAGTGCGCTCTCTATAGTGCCTCTATAGAAAGTAAGGAGAATGGGGGACGGAAGATGGACTTTCCTCATCGGGCGCAGAAAATGCAACCGTTGCTGTGCTCGTTTTACCAGCAATGCAGTGTTAAGGGACCAGGCCAGACTGTTCGTTAGCTGCACCCCTAGAAATCTAACACTGCTGACTGACTCCACAGCTATGTCATTATGAAAAGTGGAGTGTGACTACACCGTTCTTCCTAAAATCTATAATAATCCCCTTAGTTTTTTCTACATTTAGAACCAAGCTGTCAGGTTTAGCCCAAAGAACTCCAAGAGACAACGCAAAATCAGTTCAACTATGTTTATTAGCGACAACCTCTAGGAAGAATCTCCCCAGACTGAACCCCATCTCCCAAGCCAGCCAGCCACAACACCATAAATTCCTCAGGGAGGTGCCAGCCTCATCCTCTTGAAGTTCCCACGCTCTTGCGGTGAGCTAAGAAAACGCTTATCTCCCTGAGCCTGGCCTTCATAATTCCATTCCATCATACAGGCTGTTTTTATAGCATCACTCCACCAAGCCCTTCATCTCCTTCCTATGGCCGTTATGTGCCATTGAGTTGGTGTCAACTCTTAATGATCACATAGATAGACCTTCTCCAGGACTATCTGCCCCCAACCTGGTCCTTCTGGTCTTCCAACGGTGCAGCCACCACCACTGTAACTGAACTCCATCCACCTTGCTGCTGGTCGTCCTCTTCTTCTCTTTCCTTCCACCTTTCCCAGCATTATGGACTTCTCAAGGGAGTTGGGTCTTTGCATAAATGTGTCCAAAATATGATAATTTGAGCCTGGTCATTTGTGCCTCTAGTGAGAACTCTGGGCTGATTTGTTCAATGATGCCCTCGCAATCTCTTTTTTCTGCTGTGTCCTCAAAAGTTGCCTTCATCTCACCTCCAGCCTATGTGTGAGATAAGGTGGAAGGTGTCTTCAGCTGTGTCGGTGTCCAAGTAGCACTTCCCCCTTCTTCTGATGCCACCCTAGTGTGGACTCAAGGTGTGCAAAATCTGTTGGGCTTCATCTCAAGGAGACATCAGGGGCTTAGTGAGGCAGAGACGAGAAGAATCAACAATGGGGGAGCATCATTTCATGGCGGGATAGTTTTCGGTCAGCTCAAGGATGGCATCAAACCCCACGGAGCTTAGCAGATCAGGGAAGTGAGAAGTACAGAGACTTCAGAAAGGTGTCTTTAAGGCTAGAATTAGGGGTAAACACAGAATCTTGGAAAATGCAAGAGAAATGTCTTTGTTTCTTAGCAAGTTCATTAAGGTGAAAAGGCCCTTATTCCATTTTTGCCTAAGGTGTGTAGAGTTTCATGTACCGATCGATTACATACACCAATGCATCCTATCTGATGTTATTTGTCCAATATTTATGTCACTGAGTTGTTGACTCATAGAAGTTTGCAGAATCTGCCTGTGGGAATTTACCTTCTGTCAGGCCAAAGCTTTTTGGACATGAGACTTTATTCTAATGGCAGGGAAAATGAAATAAGATCCAGCAAAAACTCTCAGACCATTTTGAATCCTTCCCTCCCTGGTTTTTCACCACCCCGGACTTAGTTAACATTTATGAGATAAGCTCCCAACAGACTCTTCTCCATCTCTTGATTGTTTAAGTCAGTGTTTCTCAAAGTTGGCAACTTTCTGCTAGTTGGGGAATTTTGGGAGTTGAACTCCATTCATCTTAAAGCTGCCAAGTTTGAAAAACATCGGTATAGATTGTCTTGCTAATTCAGATACACCTGGCTCAGATTGCTTTTGAGAAAGCTACTGCAGAAGCAATTGAAAATGGAACCAATTATCTTGATACAATCCATTAAGGGCATGATTCTCCTTCCTTCCTTCCTTCCTTCCTTCCTTCCTTCCTTCCTTCCTTC